GTAAAAAAATGGTATCATGAGTGTCATATTTCTGGGTCATATTGTGTCATATGTATCGGAAAATAACCTTATAGTGTCATAATGTGTCAGAATTTGGGAACTGGTATATCGTGTCATATGTCAGTACAAATGGCAGTACATTCACGATCATTCAATGTGTCAAGGTGTTTAGGGTGCCATACGTGTCATGTAGGTAAACGAGAGAGAGAGAGAGAGAGAGAGAGAGAGAGAGAGAGAGAGAGAGAGAGAGAGAGAGAGAGAGAGAGAGAGAGAGAGAGAGAGAGCAAACAGACGTACGAATACATTTAGAAAACAGAAAGAAAGAAAGAGATAAAGAAAAACAAACACACGGGTAGAGAAACAAACACACACACACACACATACACACACAAACTGGAAATACAAACAGAAAGAGAGAGAAAGAGAGAGAGTGAGAGAGAGGTCATTCACATCGAGGCAGTAGAGTGAGGCAGACAGCGACTATGGGAGAGAAATAGCTCACATTTGAGACAATTTTGGACGACACACAGAGGGGGGTGGGGAGGGGGAGGGGGTTGTCAATCTCACCTTAGTGCACAGGTCATTCACATACAGTTTATTCTCCTCCAACCCCCCACCCACCTGCTTCCTTATTTGTCTGTCTGATTGTTTTTCTTTATTTCTCTTTCTCTCTCTAGGGTGCATTTCTCTCTATCTAATCTTATCCCCCCTCTCTCTCTCTCTCTCTCTCTCTCTCTCTCTCTCTCTCTCTCTCTCTCTCTCTCTCTCTCTCTCTCTCTCTCTCTCTCTCTCTCTCTCTCTCTCTCTCTCTCTGAGGGAGGTCCGGTTGTATATGTTATTCTCTATATGTTTTTGTTTATGTGTACAATGAAAGACAAAGGTCGTGTCGCGAAATTTGGTGAAAACATATGTCGAAGGGGTAAAACTTTTGGTGCGCTCTGCCTCGTGGTAGGGGGCTCTCATAATGTTTCATGGGTTATATTTAATCTTGGGACAAAACCACGACACGATTTTTGTCTTTGATTGTACATATGTATGTCTTCCTTTCCGTTCGTATATGTGTGTGTGTATGTGTGTGTGTGTGTGTGTCTGTATGTGTATATATATTTATATATGGAACTATGTGTATGTGTGTACGTGTGTGTATGAACGTATGTGTGTGTGTGTTTGCATGATATTGTTTACATGTCTACATGTGTATATGGCGACCTGTGGTGTAATGGTCAGCATGCTCGCTTTGCAAGCGAGCATCCCTGGGTTCGATCCCCGGGCAGGGTGAAACTATGGGCAAGTTTCTTTACGCCATTTGCCTCTGTCTACCCAGCAGTAATTGGAAACCTGAATGTTAATCGATTTGCGGATCGTATTCCGGGGTAATGGTTAGCCAGTGCAGTTGGCGAGCTGTCCGGTCTTCTCGGACTATTCCTTGACAGTGGGTCATGCAGCTCGTTAACTCAGGGTGTGGTTGTTGTGTTGGCGACAGCTTCTACACCTTAAACAAATTTGCGCCTAGGTGGCCCTAGGGCCGGCCATCCGCGTTACACGAGGGCAACCATTATTATTATATGTGTACGAGTGAGTATGTATGCACATACATGTACTGTATGTACGTAGAGTTTGTGTACATGTGTGTGTGCATGAGTGTATATGTATGTGTGGGTGGGCGTTAGAGTTTGTATGTATGTGAGGGTGGGTGAGAGTGTGTACGTGTCAACAAGCAGGATAATTGGCTACGAACCCTGGTAACATGATTGGGTTTATTTACTCACTGTGGACAGTTTCATCAGTGTGTTTGTCTCTCAGCATAAAACCCAGAATCAAAGTAAACATTCCCTGAAAACATTTAAACACCGGCCATTTTCCCCCGACGTGTTTACTTTCAATATCAACAGCCTCAGTTTGTGACAACCATAATTGCGTTTGGCACTGAATATCTCCCGTGAATTTTGTTCTCTGAGGAAAAAATATAAGATCATCTATTAGTTGAGGGTCATTAATGGTGATAAATGGAACCTCATGAATTACGCTTAATTTTGTGTTTTTACTGTGAGAAATAGGAATAAAATGGCCCCTCTACAGTCTACCCACACAGTGACCGTCTCAGTAAGAAAAGGTCAGAATAGTGTTTACGGTAGACAGCAAGACAGACAACGTCAAGGTATTTGGATTGTAAACAGTATTATCATTTCCCTTGTGTGTAGTTTTACCTCCCATGCTGTCTTTCGTGACGTACTGCCTCGTGGTGGGGAGAGGGAGTAATTCTCTCTCACACACACACACACAGTGGAGTTTTTACTAGGGCACTATGGTATTACTCCTAGTCGTGGCGCCACACTCCTAATCTCAGAGTTATATTGACACGTAGTCTGGATGTAAGTCTTTTTTATTTTTTATTTTTTTTACTTGAATATTAATCCCGAATATATTTAATTTTAAGATTAATCAGCATAATTTAACCTAAACTAACCTAGCGTAACCAAATCTAGGTAACGTAACCTAACCAAAGGTAATCTACTTTAAACTAACCTAAACTTATCGAAACTAGCTTAACCAAATATAACCTTTGCTAACCTATCCTATGGTAACCTAACCTAAACTAACCTAACCTAACCTAACCTAACCTAACCTAACCTAACCTAACCTAACCTAACCTAACCTAACCTAACCTAACCTAACCTAACCTAACCTAACCTAATCTATCATAGCGTAACATAGGTATCTAGGTAGTATTAGGGTATCTAATCAACAAGTGGCATCAACTGGGGTGACTATGTTTCATGTCATTCGTATTGTATAATTCTACCCCTCCTCCCCCAAAAAAACCGCTGACCTAAAATTCACACCATTATTTTTACCCTTTTAGCGACCAATCCTCCTCCCTCTTTCCTCTCGTCATGTACACGTCCGCCGATCAAACCATCAAACTTAATTGCGTCAGGGAGGTGATTGACCTCTTTGACTCGTTCTAGTATGTAAACAACGAAATAATCTTTTTTTTTCAACTTTACTGCAACAAGATTAATTTTTTTCTTGAGATATAAGATTCATTTTCGTCTCTTTTAACTACAGTATCTATAACCTTTATCTCTCTTGTTGTTGTTTCTGATCACCTAAGAGTCATAGAACAGGTAAAATATTGAAGTGTAATTGAAATATCGGTAACACATTCAGGTATGATTTTATAACACAGAGGAGTTCATGTACTCTGGTCTGCCACTGCACCTGAGTTGCCCCTTCATCATTATCAAGGTTAATTGATGTTTATAATGACTAGAACCTTGACCCAGAACCATAACGACAGTGAAAGATATTTAACCTAACCTAACCTAACCTTACAATAGTTTAATGTTTAGTAAAAGTGTGTTGTGGTAACTGTGGAGGTTAGCGAATATATTGAGGCAGGAGTTTGATATCTCTCTCTCTCTCTCTCTCTCTCTCTCTCTCTCTCTCTCTCTCTCTCTCTCTCTCTCTCTCTCTCTCTCTCTCTCTCTCTCTCCCTGTATGTATAA